GCCAGCCCCCAAATGAGAAAGTGCTAGAAGATGGAGTTTGGTGTCAACACACAAAAACAATGACTTGGGGCCCCTTTTCCATAAAAGTAGTTTCTGGTGCTCCCATGAATGCTTAATTTTATACATGGGTACACATGGGTAGGTCATGAGGAGCAAAATGCACTCCCCAGGTAACCACTCCCACAAAACTATTTTTCTTTGTTCATCTGGAGGCTGACAGTTCTTTACCTAAAATGCCCATTCCAGCTGGTTTTCCCTAGTAACTTGTTAAGCAGAATGTTTCTCCCGGAGACATCTTGAGCCTGGCTTTCGAGGCCGTTCTCCCCACCCAGGTAGAAGATGCTTTGTCAGGCGTGGGTCCTACTTACGTAAGTTTTGCCGCTTATTTACTGTAAGCATGTAAGTGGAGAGGGAGTTGGACTGAAGGCACAGCCAGCCTCATGCATGTTGTGCCAGCAAAGAATTCCCATCCCTGGAACTAAGTGCTGGTGAGTCCTAGTAAATGTGAGTCCAGGAATCTTTCACCAACTTAGGGGAAACCATGTGCTGAATCTCAAACCTGAAAGGTCTTCATGTAAGATGTTGGCCCAGCCCTGCGTTTTGAGAAGCTGGTGTATGGTTTCGTGGGGGTACCCAGCAGACTAGTGCATCCATATTTTGGGGTAGTTTAAGAGTTTTCCATGACAACTAGGAAAGTTATGTTTTGTGTTTATTCTGCCGTGATAGGGCCCCATGCTGTGTTCTGATTACCTTCACCCAGGTGAAGAGTGATTTTCAGGTCTCACCCCTACAGTTCCTGGTTATATACCACTGAAGGAATGGGGTGTGGACACTCATTTGTTTGTTAGAACGTTTCCCCAGGTGGTTCCTCGTGCAGTCTGGGTGGAGGGCCCCTCCTCTGTGGTCTTGCTTCTACTCCAGGTGTGGCCTGAGGACCCCTGGCATCGATGCATTAGTTTGCTGTGGCTGCACTTCAACAAGACCGTCGCATGACGTCACCTGCACACTAAAATTTGAGAAGCATGGTTGTATGGGGTCCTACCTGGGGATCGTCCAGTCACTGAGTCCATGTCAAATACAGCCGAAAAGGGTATTTTCCCTTGAACCTGTTTTAGGTGGCAGTGGGTGATCGGATGACTGGTCGTTTTCCCGAACACCATGAATCGTGCTCGTCTAAAGGACGGTAATCTCCAGAATTCTCAATGAAGCTACAGCCCTCAGCATCAGGATTCCAGATCTCCTGCTTTCCTTCCCCGTGAGGCTGGCCCCTGTGAATACAATAGTTCATTTTTTAAAAAGCTACGGAAGAACGCTGAGTGTTCTGAGCCTAAGTGGTTGCCCAGCTAATACGAGTTTTACAACCCCAGACAGGTTTTCTGGACTAGGAAGTCAGGAATCAAGGCGGGAAACTTTCTCAGTTTTGGCAATTTTATCACATTCTGCTGGACTGTAAGTCAGAGGGAAGGAAAAATAGTTTATTGACCACAGACCGCGATATTATGCTTCACCCATGTGTGAGCCGTAAGTGACCAGAGTTTAGCCCTTTGACAAAAGTTAATTTCCTAGAAGGCAAGCAGAAAAGAGCTAGTTAATTAAAATGAAATTAAAAATGGCTTATGGGAATCCCAGCAATGACTGAAACCTCTAATGACAAAGTTTGATCAACTAAGGAAGGGACTGTCAAATGCCCTAACTGTCCACAGGAGGGCAGCAGTGCTACGAGGATAAAGGCTGACCACTTTGTTCTAGGGGATCCTTTTCTGGATGAGCCTAGAAATGATGAAAGCATTTAGTTTAGGAAAGAGATAGTTTAGGAAAGAGAACAGTCTGTGTACACTGTTTTTTGCATTGTTTCTGGGAGTCAATGGACTCTTTAGGTTAAACCCTGATCTTGAGTACAAATATAGAAATTTTTTAGTGTGCGAAAGTTCTTGGGTACAATATTGTCAGGAATTACTAAGTTTTAGAATACCAGAGTTGCCTATTTTTCTTTTTTTTTAATTTTTCTAATTTTTATTTTTTAACACCTTTATTGTGGTATGGTTCCTGTGCAGTAAACTACACATATTTCAGATGTACAATTTGATCAATTTTGATAGGTGTCTACGCCCACCACAATCAAGATAGCTGACATTTCCATCACTTCCCAAGAGGTGCAATTTTCAAATTCCCAATTTATCCTTTCCCATACACTTTAGCCTCTTGGAATCATAAGTTTGTTCTGTATGTCTGTTTCTGTTTTGTAGATGTTAATTTGTGAATTTTAAGATTCCACATGTAAGTGGTATCATATGGCATTTTTTTTCTCTTTCTGGCTTACTTCACTTAGAATGATGGCCTTAAGATCGATCCATGTTGCTGCAATGGCATTATTTTATTTTTATGGCTGAGTAGTATTCCATTGTGTGTGTGTGTGTGTGTACACACCACATCTTTATCCAGTCATCTGTCAATAGGCATTTGGTTTGTTTCCGTATCTTGGCTA